TTCTTTTTTATTATATAATAAAATAATAATTAAATATTATATAGTGAACAACAATAAGTAAAACTATTACTTTCTCTTATATCAAGGGATAAATTTATATGTAAAATTAAATTTTTATTAGTATAAATGTTTTAGTGAGATAATTTTAATTATTTTACAAGCTAGCCCTAACATGCTCATATTTAATGTTCTGGCTAGAAAAAAACAACGCTGGTTAAAAGATGTGGAAAAAAACTTATAATAACCCTATTGTTTTTTAGACTTAACATTGATTAAAAGAGCTAGAAAATAGATAATAACCCTATTATTTTTTAGACTTAAACGGACAAGGGTGTGAAAATAACTCATTTAATATCTTTGTCCCGTGCATCGCACGGGGTACGTACTAGTATATCTAAAAAGGTTGATGTAAAAATTCTTTTTTAGAAACCTAAAAATAATTGAGTTGACTTTTGACTTTCTATTTATGTATTCTACTTTAATTAAGCAAATGGATATTATCCTTAATAATGGTGATATTTCCGTTAATTAAGCATGTGAAATTGATTGTTCGTTGCAAAAATCATGGGACTTACTATCTATCCAAATACACTCCATAATTATCTTATCACTTTTGGTTAATAAAAAATATGTGAAATTGATTGTCCGTTGCAAAAATCATGGGACTTACTATCTATCTAAATACAATCCATAATTATCTTATCACTTTTGGTTAATAAAAAATTGTATAAAAGGATATTCACTACCACCATTACAACTCATCATTCACGAGTTCAGAGAAAAAAAAATACAGAGAATACTTTTTCATCGCATATACAATATAATGCTTTCAGGCTGGAGTACACTTGATTCCGTTAACAAAAGAAACAAACATTTTTTTGCGTGTGAGAGCAGTCCGCATTATTGAAACCCATTACGAACGGGAGAGCTGTAACACATCTTCATGATGAACAGGTAATATTTATTTTAATTTTATATAATTTAGAAAATTATTTTAATTAATATTTATAAATTTGTATCGTAGGGTGCTTTCATTATATGCATAATACGTTATCCGAATATGAGAGAAACAAACTTTATATAAACTGAGAGCAGTCTAATTTTTGTAAAATATGTAAACTTTAAACGTGTTTTTATATATAAAATTGTATATACTTTTAAACATGTTAGTTGGACAAATTTAAGGATATATATACTTTTAAACGTGTTTTTAATATTAGATACTCTTAAACATATTTAGATAATTTTTTTTACTCATTCTTTAATATCTATGTGCATAAAAAGAGAATAAGATTTATAAAAGATTTTCCGACAATATACTAAATGTTAGATAAAAAATCTCATTTTATTTGTTATATAATATTTCGAGTTGCATTAATTTTGATTTGTTTGTGTAAAATTGATAAATTAAGCGTATGAAAAGGAGCGTACGAATTACTGTAAGGATTTAAAAAATAAAAAATAAATCTAATTTTTGAATATTTTTTACTAACTTCTAAACGAATTTATGTCATAATTCGTCATAATTTTCCCACATCATGTCAATATTTATTTTATGTATACTAGGTAAAAGGTAAATCATTATCTCAATATTTATTCTATATATTCTAAGTAAATCTTCTCATCTATCTCAACGGTCCGTAGGTAGTATTTCATACTTTTCTATTCATAATCGAATATATCAAAGCTTCACAAATTTTACTTCACAAAGAAAGTGTTCAATAATTTATATTTTTTTTCCTTCTTTGCAATCCATTTTTTTTTGTTACATATATATAAATTATATTATTTTTAATATTTCACACGTTAAACATTTCAGAAAAATATACCATCCCGTGCATCGCACGGGCTACGCGTTAGTGTCATTTTGTTTAGGAGTGTAAGCACATGATTTTAGAAATAATACATAAATAGTCATGTTCTAAACAACAACAGAAGCAAAATTATAGCATATCATAGCATACGTATGTGTTTAAATTAAAAAAAAAAAAAAGNATTCATTAAATTGTCTCACACAAGAATTCGTGTTTCAGAAATATTAACGTTTTTGTTAGACAAACATACTTTTTTCAGTAGAAACTCGTACTTACAAATTATATTTTATATAAATATAAATATAATATTTCATAAAATAATTATAAAAATTTTATTGAAAAAGTATGACAAGTTCACCACCTAATTAAACCATTCCATTCGAGTATTTGGCATCATAAATATCATCAAAATTCAGAATCCACTAGTCGACTTTTTAGCAATCTTTCTTATGGTGCCCAAAAGTGCAAAACATGCAACAACTTGATGAAACTAACATTAAACTCTCCATATATCATCCATTCCACATAGTTGACAATTTTTCTATTTTCCTTTTTCTTCCATCGACAATCACAACACTAATACTTTATGATATAAGCAAATCAAGATCTATACTTACTCAACCTAATGTTCCTCCAAACCAAGATCAACACACCAAACAACGAACCCTTGATCAATTCATGCATCCTTTTGGAAACTTTTCCAAGACGAAGCACAACTCATCAGAATCTATCGTCCGGTAGGCCCACAGCCTGACATCTGTCTCGACCGCCAGCTCGTTCCTAGCCACGATATCCATCCACCCGCCGATCAACGCGTACATCGAGTTCGACTCCCACAACTTCAACTCCACTTCGCATAATTCCCTCACGTTCGGCTGCACGAGCTTCGCCTCGATTCCCGCGCTCGACTTCTTCAGCTTCTCGGCTTCTCTCTCCAACAAGAACCGGTTTCTGACTTGGCATCCCGGCACCGACAGCCTGGCGTGGCCCGGGCTCACGTCCGACCAGAACAGTTTTTTCTCGATCACCAAAACCACGCTCTCCGGTCGACCCGAGTTCTCGATAATGTAGTCCGCGAACTCGCGGGTCGGGCCCGGTTTGGATGATGGGCCTGGCGGGTCAATTGTCCACGTCATCATGACGTGGTCCTCGATTTTGAACCTCGGCTTCTTCTTGCTTGTGAGCTGGCTAGGGTTAGGGTTAGGCTTTGTGGGCCGGCCAGTTGGAAGGTTCTTGAACTTTTTCTTGACACGGGCTGAATTGGATTCGGGCTTATCGTCGGGAAATGGGCCGTGTGCCACGGGTTTCGGCCCGCCGGTTCGTGGAGAACGCTTGGCCTTTCTTGAGAAGCCCTCAATTAATGGTGATGGGTTGGGGTTAGGGTTTTGATCGATTTTTAGTTCGGAGACTAAATCTTCGAGTCGAACTTTGCCTTCCGAAAGCATTTCCGTGAGCTTGATGAGGCAATTCCACCGCCTCTCGTTGGCGGTGATGCCGCCGGTGTCGGCCATTGTTGGCCGGAGAAAGAAAGGAAAGAGTTGGAAGGAAAGAAAAAAAAAATAATAATAAGACAAAGTAAGAGATGTGTTCAATTGGTGAGAGAGGTTTTAGATTCTCGGGGTTTAATTATAGAAGTATAAACCTTCTTGAAATAGGAAAGGATTTTGGAATCTATGTTTATGATTTCTTGGCAAGATTTTGATATAGGTAAGGTTTTACTAATTTTCACATTGGATTTCAATATATGATACACCCGTATTTATTAGATGAATATAATTTTTAATATTTTTCTTTTGTAAAAGCTATAATCGTTATTATTTTGGTTTAAATAAAGTTATATAGGATATCTTTTGTGTCTTTTTTATTTGTCATATATACTGTAAATATAAAATAAATAACACCAATAATTAAAGTGAAGTTATATATAGATTGGAGTTATAGTAATGATGATAGCTACTATATTTAAAACTTCTATTGTATACTATTATTATACTACTTCCATCCCAAACAAATATATTGATGATAATTTTATAACAATCGATATTATTGAGAAGGTAATATATTATACGGTTCGTTCTAATTGAATTTGGTGTAAATAATTATATGTTGAGCCCAAACCTCAAATTCTTAACTAATTTAATAAAATTTTATTACATTTGATAGATATGTTTTTAGCCTTGAAATATTTGGATCACTATTGTTGTGGGCCTTTTTCTCCAACCTAAATGCCAAAACCCTATATTCCATATTTGGATCACTATTATTTTGGGCCTGTTTCTCCAACTAAAAGCTACAACCTTATATTCCGAGAGGCCCAATGACTGGTTCATTTTGGTCAATTTACTCCTTGAGATGATTTATGATATCAAAAAAAATTATGTGATAAATATCCACTTCCAAAATATTTTGTTTCACATTTACACAATATATATTACTACACAGTTTTGCTATGAAGTCATCTATAGTTATTCACAAATAATATATTAACACATGTCCTGTAATAAATATACTTTAGATGTGTGTGAACACATCCCAATATTTGTTTAGTTATCAACTTGCATGTGCATTGAATATTTGATCTTTCAAATGAAAGAAGAACTTATAACTCGACTTATTAAGATTTAAGATTAGAGTTTTTATGCAATTTTTCAAATGCCTATTTTAATTTGAAATAGCAAAAATTCGAGATTATTTAGTTTATATTTTATAATGAATAAGCTGAACTCGTTTAGATTTTGACATTAGCTCCACTCCGCAGGTTGAAAAGACGAAGTTGCGCCTTTGCTCAAAACCAAATGTACGGCCTAGATCAGCTCCCTAGCATCCAACGGTTCAAGCCTGTCAACAATATATATAAAGCCTAGCAAAAACCCTAAATTTCATTTCTCATCAAACTGGTTGTCGGTGTTGGCCGTCTTTCTTACTTCCTAAGGATCTGAACACTGCGCATCCAATTTTCCGATCAAAATGGTGAGCTTACAATTTATTCAACGTATTTTTTCTTTGAGAAAATCGTAATAGAGGTTCACTTTCCTCCTTACTTCGGGTTTAATTTCGAGTATTTTGTTTTAATGGGGTAAAATTAGGTTCTCCCAAACGACATCGATTTGCTCAACCCGCCGGCGGAGCTTGAGAAGAGGAAGCACAAGCTCAAGCGCCTTGTTCAGTCTCCAAACTCGTTTTTTATGGTATTATTATTCATTTACCGTCACTATTGATTCGTTTTTATGATAAAAGTTGCCCTTTTTTTAGGTACTACGTATTTTATTTNTTTTCGGTCTGTGATTGTAGGATGTCAAGTGCCAGGGCTGCTTTAACATGTGGGTTTTCTTTCTTTTGCTTTGTATTCCTCTCTTTTTAATTATGTTTCTGAAATGTATTGTTGATGTGAACTGAATCGTATGACCTGTGTGGAAGAAAGAAAGATTCGAACTTTGTTGATTTATGGGTTTTTTTTTGTCTTCTTCCTGTAGAACCACTGTTTTCAGTCACTCGCAGACTGTTGTTGTGTGCGGAAACTGCCAGACAGTGCTGTGCCAACCTACTGGAGGGCGTGCTAGGCTTACCGAGGGATGCTCTTTCAGAAAGAAGGGCGATTGAAGTTGGTTTGAAGACTGGGATATATGAAAAATGGTGATCAGGATTTGATATGATAGTCTTGGTTTGTTCCCTGGTTGAGAATGTGGCAGGGGTTTTTGTGTTTGAATATTGTCTGTTTCTTTGTTTTTAGTCTTTCATGGATTTTATGGTTCAGTTGAAAAGAATTTGTTGGATTATATTGTGTAGGTTTTAATATGGGATATGAGAATGAATCTTGAAAATTCTTGATTAATTTCATCATAGTTGCTGACAAGCGTTATATGGGTATGTTTTCTTGGGATGTTAAGGATTGAGCTTAAGCAAATGTAGCTCTACTCAGCTGTCTCCATATTTCGTGGTATTTTTGTTTATGCTTTTCAGGTTGGGGCATGTGGTATAGTCTTTTTATGGAAAGTAACACTGCTCGTTTAACTTCTTGTGATTTTGATTGTCTTTGGAATCTGTTATATATTTTATTTTTGTGGACAACAAATTTTGAACTTATGTGTGACTTGGTGATGTTTAGCTAAAGCATTTGATGATTTGCTTAGCATTTAGGGATCTGAATAAGATATGTTATGCTCTACTAAAGCATGGAAGAATGAGGAAAAGATTGGTGGGAGTTGCTTTTATATGATGCATTATGTGCCCTTGTTCCAACTTCCAAGTTTGATTCTAGGGACAAACTTGTGGGTGATCTTCAAATTTTGTGTTATTCATTTCTATAATTGGGTGCTCTTTGCAGATTCTATTAAAAAGATGTATGTTCAATATTTGAGTAGGTATATATACTAATTAAAGCTATTGTGTTGTTGATTTGGTATAATACTTGTTTTATGGGAATGTTGTTTTTGAAGTTTGAAAGTCATGTTACATTTTATGAACTGTTTATGGATTTGGAGTATTGGCATCAGTTTATTGGTAGGAAGATATTTAATTATGAAAAAGATAATTATTGTAGAGCATGTTTGTTTAGGGAGATCGGATTAGATAATTTTTATCTTGAATTACAAGATTGTCTTGTAGAGTTAGGATAAAAACTTTTGTTTGTTGTATATGATTGACACAAGATAAGCTAAATAGGATATAATGTACTATTACTTGTTGCCTTAGATAATTGATAGGATAAATGGTTCATTTACTTATTTGTCCTTTAATTAAAGTATATAAATTAATATTGTATGCATTCTTTTTTGTATCTTAATTTTTTCAAACTGAGACTTCTTTTTCGCACAATTTTTCCTATATCTATATTTGCACGATGTATTTTTGTTTTTATTATTTTATCACAAGCTGTGTGTCCGTTGGTTAGTATATTGTTAAATATGTTTTNGTTGATGTTATATATTTTAAGCCATTGTACAAGCTGTGTTTTATGAATTCTGCTAGTTTTTGTTAATGTTTTTTTTTCTCCTTTTGTATTAATTCTCATATCTGCCTGTATGATAAAAGTAAGTATCAAACTATGTCTTCCAGACTTTCACATATGTGTTTTGCCCCATTTTCCAAAAAAACTTCAGTCATTGTACAAAATACATTCTACACCAGAAACTAAAAATTAATACTATTCAAAACAGAACTAGGTATCAAATTAAATATCACAACATTTATGAGGAGCACATTTTCTCATGTCCATTAAACGAAAAGGATCCATTTACATAATTTATTTATTTTTGTCGCTATGGTTTTAGGCAAATCACAACAACAACCCTGTAAGCTTAACTTGGTTGAAATCTGAATTTTTAATCCCTCATCAAAAAGTCACATAAAAAAGCAGGGCGCGAAAAACATTAAGTAAAAAAACCCCAAAATAAAAATATAAAATATTTAAAAAAAAATCAAAATAAAAGAGAACAGATCCAAAATTTTCGACAAAAATACACAAATCTTTGATTAGAGCTGTCAAAACGGGCCGGCGGGGCGGACCGGCCCGTAGCCCACCGAAGCCCGCCTTTTGGAGGGGTGGCGGGCCTGTAAAATGCTGGCCCAACCCGCCCCCG